TGTATATATATATATATATGTATGTATATATAAATATATATATATATATATATATAGCTCTTTGAGAGCCACACTAGTTAATCGCAAGGTACCTGCGTAGGCGCACTTGCGGGCATGTTTAGATCAACATGGTAGCCAAATTACAATTCACCTAATATTACATCTTGTCAAGGATGTAGGGCATGTGGGCGGTGTAGAACAGTCCGATTAAGTACTAAAAACGAGGAAAGATTCATGTCAGCTGCACAATAAGCATAATTTGGCGACAGAATGTACAGCAGTCGAGCTATGCAGAACGGATATACGAAGCGCTGAGGGAAGGATAACAAAGAGGTTCCAACACGGCAGCAATACGACAAGGTACCTGAACGTCCATTCGACCGACTGTTTTGAACATTTCGAACAATTCAGAAAGATCAGCTGGGGGCAATGAAGGTGTGATGAGACCTCATCCTGAACTACACGAAATTGTATTGCTTCCTCGGGTCTCATTCTTCAGATGAAGGTTGACGATGGTAGTAATTTTATGCAAGGTGCACTTTCCTATCCGAAATTCCTGCGAGATCGTGACTCTCCTATCGTCGCTCTCACATCGATTAGTCTAACACGCACTGAAGAACGTGGCGTTTGAACTGACAAGGGCAACAAAACCCTTAACAAGCCACTGATTGCCAACAAAATCGAAGACTTGTCAGAGTCGGCTCGATGAAGTCATGGAGACTATCTCCGAGGAATGCGAATCAGCACTTCTAGTCTAAAACAGACTGAAAATCAACAAACATACAATTGCGGGTAAAGGCAGAACATATGGGCTGGTATGATTGTGTAAGAATCGTCATATGACGAGAGCGAATGAGGGCCGTTAAATTAACCACCAACAATGAGCTCAGTGATTTGAATGAGCGATCATGTGTTAGTATTTTAGAATAAGAGTGATATGATTATGCGTCTACGGTGATTTGAACACAGATCACCACCACACGTCTCTAGTCAGCGATTAAGCTGTGGAGCAGGCTTCGCAATTCTTTGTACGATTTGTCCACAAGGCCAGATCAGGGAGTCGGCGAGATTTTCATGAAGACCATACAGTGAGCGGTTGTTGCCCCTCGGCGAGACCGAGACTCCACTTGAGTAATACATCGAAATAAACGATAGCTTTGATCCATGTTTTAAATATATTTTTTACAGTGAGATTGCTTGTAGCGTGTAACGCGTGCATTCTAAAACGAACTGTTAGAATTAGAAAGCGTGTAGCTAGCTATAAAATATTGTTACATACACGTGTTTTTATGTAATAGCAGTTTTGTTCACCTTTATATTCATCGATTCAATTTCGAAGTGTCCCTTAAATATCCCCTCCATTCATTCTATTCAAATTTATTCCTCTGGGATGCGGACGATATCTCAGACAATTAGGTTATATGTTGTCGTGGCTACTCACTACTAGGTCAGCGGTAAAGTTGATGTCTATTCTTGCTTCGTGCTCACGAGTGTCTTGTTCTTGAAGTGATGTAACGGTCATATTATCTCTGCGTAGTTCATACAGCTCATCATCAGTCCATGTTAGTACGGATGATTCAATCTACACTAGTGATATCACTGAGCTTCCAGTCATTGTAATCTTGTAACCATTTGGTATAACACCTCAACTACAGTCTCGATGAACAACTACAGTCTCGATGAAATATGGGTGTACAGTTCGCCGTTCGGTATGCTCACTCTCAGAGACAGATGTACATATTTTACATATTTACCACTTTGTCAGTAGTAGAGTTTGATAAAAAATACAACCAATAAAATATGATGTCACATACGGAGTAAATTACAAGAGGAAACTCAGAGTCATTTTCTACATACCATACCGAACTCAAATACCTAGTAGTCTATGTATGAAGTTTAAAAAAACAACTACAAAACAAATCGACATATGTACAACAATCCATTCACATATGTCACATTGATATCATGATATGTCCCTCTGGAGGACGGGATACATTCTCTCGGAAAAATGAAAGCGTCTTGGACTCCTGGGACCTGGGGGGGAAGGATGATTTTTCGTTTTCTCCCTCCCTCCAGAGTCCAGAGGATCATGCCATTCAAATATATTCGAAACTCAACTGACTTCAGTTCAATATCAATTGACTGCCCCTGTCGATCTGTTAATGTACAAATGTGTAATAAATATCTTTACAAACTTGATACGTATATAAATATATTTGGTTGTACTCTATAGCCCAGTAAATAGAGGACAGGCATCCATCGAACCTGCCTATTTCAATCTTGTTATGCAAACTGAAAGCAGTGAAAGGCTCATTATTTATTATGGATATCGAAGTTCTATTTGCACTTATATGAAATATGCACATATCAATATCAATATAGTTTTTGAGACAGTAATCGGAATCGGAATCCGGGTTCGTGAATTGTTATCTGTACACGAATTGAAAGAACTTTCATCATTTTAAACGCCCACGAGCTTGCTGTATACATACAGCAGAACATAATAAATTTAAATTGTATGAGAAGCATACAATTTTTTACAAAGGATATTGAAAGACTGTCTTTTTCATCATTTGTACATATCATCAGATGAATTTCTTAGATGCTCAAGGTCTCATCATTCGTATTACATCAACGCTTGTATTGCTGGTGGCTTAGGGCATTGTAAATACATAAAATATTGAGAACCTAAATCTCGCATGTGGTTTATCGATTGTTTAAAGAACCGTTCTCGTCCGGGATATGATTATTTTTCCCGTCTCGTGGTCCCAAACCTAGTTAAATTCATGTCAATTACTGCTTGGCTCCGAATAAAATTCGCTTGCATGTGCCATCAGCTTACATGTGCTATCTACTACTGGCTTTAAAGTGATTGTCAGAGATCATTGTCTCGCGATGATTTTCTGCACTTTGCCCTGCGCGTGTTATTTGTTTAAAAAAAGAAAAAGAAAAATATCCATAGCCTTCTTGTTTATTTTTTAGAAGGCTTGTATGTATTAATATTTCATGACTCATGGGACGTATGATAAATGTGTGCATAAATATATCAAATCCGAGATCTGAATCTCCAATTAAACTAATTACTTTTTTATATAAAAAAACAGCAAGTATGTGTATGTATGTTTAATTTTCAGAAGGCTATGGTTTGTAACATAAATATAAATAACTAAATAATTATGTAAAATAGTAAATGCGCAGGATGTATTTGAATGTGGGACAGAGATATGGTATTTATATAAATAGCTGTAGACTGCGGTACTGCTGACTGCACTGACTGTGATATATACTCGCTGGATCAGAGTAATCAAATATCAACAGCTTAGTGTATACACAGGCAGCAGAACGCGATCCTTTTCATACAATATATATATGATATTTGTGATACACCGACGTATTTTTATTTTGTAACCGCACTTTAGCAGAACAATGAACGGACATTTGAGTAATAGTGACGAAACTGGCTCGGTCAGTACTGTGCTGCTGAACGCGTGGGACACAGTGCTCAAGGAGGTCAGTACAGACAGTTCAACACTTCTATGCCTGCTAATTTTACTTGTGATGTTGAGTAGTGCCCTTGATAATTTGCGAGACTGTGAGAGAACATGTTCTTGTAGAGGTATATCTTAATCACGAGAGATGTACAATAATTAGCAGTCTTTCGTATATTGTGTTACTAAACATATAATCTCGTTTCTGTATTCGTATACATAAAGATATTAATTTACATGAATACATTTCGAATTAAACATAATATAT